CTCTTTTTGACGTTACGTCTTTGTTTAATCAACTTATTTTACGATTTAAATTTTGAATTTTGAAACTACTGTAGTACATAGGATAAAAATTATGAAAAAAATTAGGACCAGAAATAAAATCCTAATGAATGGTGGTGTAATTAGACAATTACAAAAATTCATAAATGCTGTTTAGTCTGAAACGCAAGCCCATAGATCTATTTGGGATGCAGGCCCATAATATTAAATCAGGCCCAACACGTAATACATAATCGTAATCGGGTCAACGCTTGTCGGCGATTTGCCAAACAGAACGTCTTTACGTAGCCTTTACAGATTCGCTTGATCAAGTTACCAAAATAACCCTCTTTATGTCCTCAATCACCTTCGTCCATTGCCTATATAAGTCGCATAAACCAGTCGGGAGCTTTAAAAAAATCAAACACAAAGAGCGTCGTGCCAAGAACCTCTCATTTCTTCGGATCCGATCTGATCTGACCCCAATGGCTTCCCAAGACGATGTCCCCAGATCCGAAATCACCATCACCACTACCAATGGCAATTCTGACATTCCCCCGAGGAAGATTGCACTCGTTACCGGGATCACTGGCCAGGACGGATCATACCTGACCGAGTTCCTGCTCGGAAAAGGCTACGAAGTTCACGGCCTGATCCGACGATCGTCGAATTTCAACACTCAGCGAATCAACCATATCTACGTTGATCCCCACAACGTCAACAAAGCTCGCATGAAGCTCCATTACGCAGATCTCTCTGATGCCTCCTCGCTTCGTCGTTGGCTCGATGTCATCAAGCCAGACGAGGTCTACAACCTTGCTGCTCAGTCTCACGTCGCTGTCTCCTTCGAGATCCCTGACTATACTGCTGATGTCGTCGCTACTGGAGCTCTCCGTCTCCTGGAGGCTGTCAGATCTCACATCGTCGACAGTGGCCGCAGCGTCAAGTACTACCAGGCTGGATCTTCGGAGATGTTCGGGTCAACTCCTCCTCCGCAGTCTGAGACTACGCCGTTTCATCCGAGATCTCCCTATGCCGCGTCCAAAGTGGCGGCTCACTGGTACACCGTGAACTACAGAGAAGCCTACGGATTGTATGCCTGTAATGGAATCCTGTTCAACCACGAGTCGCCCCGTCGAGGTGAGAACTTTGTGACCCGGAAGATAACTCGGGCCTTGGGAAGGATCAAGGTCGGACTGCAGTCGAAGCTCTTCCTGGGAAACATACAGGCGTCAAGAGACTGGGGATTCGCAGGGGACTACGTGGAGGCAATGTGGCTTATGCTGCAGCAAGAGAAACCAGATGATTACGTGGTTGCAACCGAGGAATCACACACCGTCGAGGAGTTTCTGGATGTGTCGTTCGGTTACCTCGGGCTGAACTGGAAAGACTATGTCGAGATCGACCAGAGGTACTTCAGGCCAACGGAGGTCGACAACCTGAAAGGAGATGCGAGCAAGACCAAGGAGATGTTGGGGTGGAAGCCGAAGGTTGGGTTCGAGCAGCTGGTGAAGATGATGGTTGACGAAGACCTTGAGATGGCCAAGAGGGAGAAAGTGCTCGTCGATGCTGGTTACATGGACGCTAAGCAGCAACCTTGATCCGGAGCTTCCCACGAGGAGTCATTATTATCTCCTTTTTTATTGCATCTAGTTTTGTTTCAAGTTTTCCCATTTGTTGTCTTCACTTTTGCTGTTTTATGGCATTCAACTCGATAAACAGTGTATCATCATTTCTGAATTATGTATCAAAGCGCAATAAAATATGAATTTTCCCATATCACAACAATGGTGTCCTGGTGTCCTACTATTCACGAGAGATAATACAGCTCAGAAATAAACAACCGTAAAAGTACGAAAGCCTAAAGATGAAAATGACAAAAGATAACAAAGATTCACAGCAAAGGAGATTTGATAAATAGCATCATCGTGCATCTATGCAAAATCAAAAGTGAGCAGAGAACAGTGTAGAATTAGACGTATTCCATTCCACCAAACTATCTATCGTTAAGAGTATTTACTCTCACGCCTCTTTGTTTAGGAGACAGAGTAGTAGTGTTTATACTAACCGAATCAGGTGATGCAAGAGCAAAAGGCGTCACTGTTGACCTTAGAGATTCAGGTCCCTCAGAATTAATTCTCTTACATAATGTATCACAGTTGCTTATCACCTCAGTTAACCTTCCTTTAAGCTCCCCGAGCTCCACCTGCAAACCATGAACTAAAAATATGTTCCACATATAAAAGATTAGTGAAAATGCAGTCCAGTGTCAAACTCATCTCTATCTTCTACACTAATTAAGTAATAAGTACCTTGAGATAAATGCTGGGAAGTCGTTCTCATTGCAGAAACTGAGTGGTTAAACCTCTGTAGAAGTTTACTCGCCAAAGCATCTGCCACTTCTATCTTGTTTTCTATATCTTCCTAGAAACATGATGCAACATGTTATTATTCATTTCCCGTTAACTGCGAAACCTACAGACACTACGGTGATGCAGAACCAAGATTTCAGAACCAAGAGGCATGCAGTATCTTAAGTTTCAATTCACTCGATCATAGAGCCTAAGAAAGTATAACATTCAATTGATATCATACCAGCCAAACCAAAAGCTCACAAGTTACATAATCCTACTGTCGCTTAAAATTTAAGGGGACCCTTGGGAGTAGCCTTAAGTCTAACTCTAGTCTTCCAGCTATTGCAAAAAATTCTTAAGGAATGCACACTCATGGACCAAAGAGAAGAAATTTGCAGTCCCTGAATAAGGTATGAATTTGAAGGACTAGTAAGGATTCCATTTTCATTAAAAAGGAGGAAAGGCAGACCTGTTTCTTGGTTATTTCTTTAGCTTTGCTCTCTTGCCATTCTCGGTAAATGGAGAAGAGCTCTAAAAGTATTTCAGGATCCACCGTATCTATAAAAAGGTTGACAAGAAGAACAAGATATTAGATTTGAAAAAAGCGGAGTTCTACAGCTTGTTTGGCAAAGTATTTTAGCGTTTAATCATCTAGCTTTGCTAGTAAACGAAAACAAAAAGCAAAAATATCAAAACAACAGTCTTCTTGTCTGAATGAATCGTCTTATAACTGGTTCCGCAATGATGAATGATCGTGGGTTTAGCAAGCAAATAGGTAATGAAACTCACTGGAAGAGGAACTCGATAGTGCTTTTCTCACTAATATGTCCGTTAAGCTACTTTCCGTGGGAGGTGACTTCAATATTGGCCTACTCTGCAAATCAAAATTTAAGCACGAAAAAACATCAACAAGGTTTTTATCTTAAACAGAAAAGAAACAAACCCTAGTTTCGGTTTAGACGAATTGGAAATGCAAAACAACAAAAAGAGTAACTCACAACTGTCAGAGATTTAAGATTCTCGAGAATGGGATCGACTGTTTCGGACCGATGAGAGATGGTCGTAATCACATCTCCACCTCGATTTTCCTGAAAATCCATCCAAAAAACAAAAACAAGTTCATATGTATCGGAGGATTAACCTGAAGAATCAAATCGCGAAATATCAATTACCTGACCGCCTAAGAGCGTCGACTCTGATGCTCCCATTGTTGTTCACAGAATCAGTAGAAATTTTAGCCCAAAACTTAGAAATCTGGAAACGAATCAATCAAGGAAGGAGACAACTGTTTCAACTTTCGATCCTGCGAGTGAGGAGGAGGAGGAGAGTAACGAGATGACGTTTCGCGCATTTGTAAGCAAACAGCGTGCCGTTTAAAAACCCTCATTCAGACGACAATATGTTTTCAAAGAGATGCACGAAACGCTGCCTCGTCCGAAATTAATGGGGGAGACAAAGCATGAGTAATAAGAACCATGCTTCACCGCGCATGGTAGACAAAGCCCATATTAAATGGGCCCACATTGAGCCCACTTTACTAAATATCTTCTTTTTAAAAAACATCTTTAAAAACTTGAATTTTGTGTTTGGATTCGAACGTATTTCTTTGGAGTCTCTGATACATTGTTAGAAAACTCAGTAAAACTATAGACCATAGGACCATTATATATATTTCTTGTGCGTTACTCACCTTCCATTTATCCATCATCCAAAATCAATTCATTCGTTGAATTTATTATCACC